GAACGGCACGCTCCTTCTAGAATGGCTAGCGAATGCATACCCTCTTCACCCATGAACCGGCGTTGAATTCGTGTTTCGTCATTGCCTCCCTGCGACTGGAAAGCGGAAGATGTCATGCAGCGAGTAAGGCTGGGCTCAAGATCGCGAGCACATCTCGAGCTTCTATTCGATATCCAATGTTCCAATCATATGCTCACATCGCCTATCAGCATCTTGTGTATCAATTTGATTAGTTGATGACGGTAGAAATTGTTTCTGCACATTGACCCGGCAATCGGCTTGATGATTACAATCATGTTTGTCAGACAGAATCATGGGTTTGTACCATTTTTGATCAGATACTTTTATCAATTTCACTGTTCATGGTGCAAGATACCAACATACTCAGAGCTCGGGAGTCCATAGGTGACAGACTCGTTTGACCCTCCCAATAGCTTCTTGCTCTGGTGGCGCACATGTAATGATGGATGTCTTGAATCAATACTGAATAGAATGGGCTGGAGCAACAAGAATGAGCGAATGAGCGACTTTGTGGAGGGAAGGGATCGAAAACCACAGGGTGCCGTACAAGAGGACAGGGCAAATGGTCAGGACAATTGGAGGCATAGTGGTATATATACCAGCAGGGGGCCTGAACGAGTAACTCGGCGGCTGGTCAAGGTGTATATCACCCCAACCTTTTTTAGAACCCGAGGGCACTAACAGATTGTAGAGGGGGTCCATAGACTCCCCGGATCGATTCTCATTTATTTTCCCCCTCTCATTTATGTTTGCCGCACTCCCTGCGCCGCAAGGCTTGCAGAACAGCACGCTCCAGACAAACTTTTCAATGTTCTGATCACTGTGTTTTCGTTGTGAACACTGGACCGTGATACTACTAAACTTATGATTAGCCTACCGGTCCGATCTACGTCCGACCGTCCGATCATGGACGCGTTATTGATGTCGGATTCTGTATGATGTAGATGATGCTGTGTAACAGATCATCAAGTTTGCCATGATAGGAAAAGAAAATGATTCCAAGCAAGAATTGTCATGTGCCACGTTGATCACTTGCAAATGCGAGCCTTTTGAAATTTTCTCGGATGAAGGGGACTGGATACTTTAGTGACAGATCCTGCTTCCCGGCGAGCAGTCATCGTGCATGGATCAGGATGCCCAAAGCTGTGCCCTTTTCAACGCTGCACTTGCACATATTACATGTGGTGATGCACTCAGGTTGGCATTGCTACTCCACATACAGGTTGATGACAGACGTTATATTGTCTAGATTGTTTAGAACCCGAATTCCAGCTTGAACAACATTCTTGAAGATGCGCAAACTGTTAGCGGCAATCTTTTTCTCAAAACAGATTGCCGCTAACAGTTCCATCACGGATCCAGTGAGCTGAGATCAAGTGAAGATTGACCTTCTCATGTTTGTGTATCAGGTAAGCTTCGTGCATCAACATGAACAAGCAACACAGCACTTTTTTTGCTTGGCACCTTCCTTCCTAGCAGAACAATGAACACATGTAAGATATTACATGCTCGTGACGATATCGACTGCGGAATAAGTTTCACGACAAAAGAAAATTATGTAGGGATGATCTAAGTGTATCGACTACTTGCTGTTGGTGCTCAACATGTGGAGAAAAGACGATTTGAATGAATTCATGACAGTGGATCACATCTGAAGCAACGTATCTCAATGTTGCATACATAGCTTGACTTCATATCCTTACATCGTGAGAGTTGACAACCTGTATGGAGTGAGCTTTTCTGCGTCACATCATCATGCTGAGTTTACTTCGTGTCACAATAGATCTGCATGCAACTTTCCAGCGCATTTGCAGAGTCATAGATCATGCTTAATGAAATGCGTACCTTCTGTTGATGCCTTGACCAAGAACAATCGTGTTACAGAGTATTGCTACTCGCTGCATGCGAAGCTGCTACTGTCTACAACACTCTAGAGTTCTGAACATCATATCAGTGCACAGCATGCATGAGAGGGGGAAAATAAATGAGAATCGATCCGGGGAGTCTATGGACCCCCTCTACAATCTGTTAGTGCCCTCGGGTTCTAAAAAAGGTTGGGGTGATATACACCTTGACCAGCCGCCGAGTTACTCGTTCAGGCCCCCTGCTGGTATATATACCACTATGCCTCCAATTGTCCTGACCATTTGCCCTGTCCTCTTGTACGGCACCCTGTGGTTTTCGATCCCTTCCCTCCACAAAGTCGCTCATTCGCTCATTCTTGTTGCTCCAGCCCATTCTATTCAGTATTGATTCAAGACATCCATCATTACATGTGCGCCACCAGAGCAAGAAGCTATTGGGAGGGTCAAACGAGTCTGTCACCTATGGACTCCCGAGCTCTGAGTATGTTGGTATCTTGCACCATGAACAGTGAAATTGATAAAAGTATCTGATCAAAAATGGTACAAACCCATGATTCTGTCTGACAAACATGATTGTAATCATCAAGCCGATTGCCGGGTCAATGTGCAGAAACAATTTCTACCGTCATCAACTAATCAAATTGATACACAAGATGCTGATAGGCGATGTGAGCATATGATTGGAACATTGGATATCGAATAGAAGCTCGAGATGTGCTCGCGATCTTGAGCCCAGCCTTACTCGCTGCATGACATCTTCCGCTTTCCAGTCGCAGGGAGGCAATGACGAAACACGAATTCAACGCCGGTTCATGGGTGAAGAGGGTATGCATGTAGGCACGCAAGATGTGGAATACGAGGGATAAAAATGGTAACCTGCTGTTTATTGAAGAGAGGCGGGAAGGGGAGAGGAGAGGGGGAGACGGGGGGGGGTTGCGGGTTGAGGGGAGAAAGAGAGCAGGATGAGGAGCAAATGGTCAGGACAATTGGAGGCATAGTGGTATATATATCAGCAGGGGTCTTGAACGAGTAACTCGGCGGCTGGTCAAGGTGTATATCACCCCAACCTTTTTTAGAACCCGAGGGCACTAAGACAGTAGAGGGGGTCCATAGACTCCCCGGATCGAATCGCACTCTTTTGTTGAAGTGCCCGCCTGAGAGAAGTGGTCGCTCCTCCCAACAAAGAACTGCACACCAATGTTGCTGTCCTTTGATATTTATTGTGATATATTTGAGGCGAACTTGTTATTCCTTACCCGTAACAAGAAAAATGTGAAATCAAGTCGTTTCGTGCAAATACGACCAGCTATCATCGGAAAGCTCTTCTTTTCGGTCCCTTGGCCCCCTATCTCTCTAGTATCTCCTATTGCTACCCCCGAGGCCGGCCGCAAAGGAATTGGACCCCACCCCCCTGTATTCAACCGGCTCCTTGGTACTTGAGGGGTGGGTGCAGTCCGGATAGGTGCTATCTTGCCGGGTGTTTTCTAGGAGGATATAGAGAAGCGACCCACCTTCTAGGACCTCTGCGAAAATTGATTTTATATTTATACCTACCCCATGGAGTGGAGGTAGAAGGGGTTAGCAATCAGTAGGTAGGGGTGATCAATCCAAGGGCAATGAGGTCCATTGAATGTTGACGGGTGTCTAATCAGATCCACCCCAGGTTTTCACAGCAATCCAGAGGTAGTGGACCGGGTTATTTTTCTTTTTTGAGGCCATGTCAAAGATTATTTTTTTAGAGCCCACCGCATCTCGACCAACCACCCGTACAGTATCCATCACCCACCCCTTATTTCCATCTCTCCTCCCCATGGTACCTTCAGCTATTCGCTATTACACAGATAGGCTGGGCATATTTATCATTATGTGAATTGGATAATCATCTCTCTATGGTACCTGCTCTCCCCAGGCTAGCGAATTGCTACCCATGACCCCTCATTTAAGTACCCTACCCAGGTCACTTCTAGCTTTATTACCCCACCCTCCATAAGCACCAAACACAGCCAGGGGTAACGGCACTTCTACTAGCACAGGCCCCTTCAAGGCATCACCACCCCTCCATATACACTCCTCTGTACCCGTACTCCTACCTGTAACCCACCCAATACCTCTGCCTCAACAGTACCCCTTGTAATATTTTTTTAGTCAATTTTAGTACCCCCTCCAGTTGGACCTGGATACCAATAGAGCCCCCGCTGTAGGACCTACCCCTACCCTTGATTTTGTTGGAAAAACAGCCCGTCCTGAAAAGACCTCGGTAAAAGCACCCCCTTTCCTACTGAAATCCCACCACCCCACCCACCCCTGTCAATCCCTGAGGATCTTTTCTTTTTAATCCGCCCCCCTCCCTCTTTGTACCTCAGACTACCCCACCTATTCATTGACCGTATAAGTCACTACCCACCCAGGTCAGGAAAATTCCAATCATTTTGAACCCCTGAGTTTATAAGTTTCAATTAGACTACCCGGTTATTTCTCTATACATTACCCACCCCGAGAACCAATACACCACACCAATGCTTATACCACCTACCACTCTCTTACACTACCCCTCATTTTTCACCACCTATCCTCGACCTCCTTCCACTCCAGCCCCAATCGCTCACCCCACCCCCTGAAAAACAAGAATTGCAGAGGAAACACTGTTCAGAACCCCTACATTCTAGTCACCTATTGCGGTATTTCACAGGTGGGTCATATCACCCCACCCGTCGAAAGAATCGATCCCAAATACCCCTCAAGGTCTCATGCACTGTACCTCTCCCTATCCATACCCCGTACTTTCACAAAGAATCTCTGTCAAATAGTAGGGTCATGGGTCATACCCCACCCCCTTTTGGTCCTCCCTCGGCCCCCCTTTTCTTTCCGCCCGCCCTCACTCGCATCCTCTGTCGCCCCACTGCCATGCGCCGATCCATCCTCCTCCTCTGCGCCGCCGCCGCTTGCTCCGCATCCCAGCTCCGCCTTCGAGGAGGAGCTCCTCCTGTCTGGAAGGACCTTGTCAAGGCTCCAGGTTGGTCCTCTTGATCTGTCCCCCAGCTTTGTCCGCGGATCCTTTCCGAAGTTTGTCCTGAATGTCCTCCCCCGAAAATCCTCAGCTCCTCCATGTGAAATGCGATGTTTCTCACTTTCTCTTGCTATGTGTGTCGTGTTGCCTGACATAAAACGCGCAGCCGTCTTGGACTCTGGCTACTCCACCGACAACAAGCTCGAGATCACTTCCAAGTCCGGACTCAATGGAGGAATCGGCCTCAAGACTACCTTCCTCAGGAACGCTGCTGACAAGATCTCAAGCACCTTCAAGGCCACCACCAGCTACCAGGGTGTTGACATCGAGGCAAATCTTGATGGATCTGGCACTATCAAGGGAGAGGCTAAGGCCGACGTTTCTGGCGTGAAACTCACCCTGGGAGGATCCCTCAAGGGAGGATCTTCTATCAAGGACATGCCGGCTCCCAGCGTCGCTGCTGAGTACAGCAAGGGAGACCTCACCTGCAACGCTCGTGTAGAGGGCAAGAACTTGGAGGCCGGTGCCGTGTTCCAGGCTGGAGACGTCCAGGTTGGAGGGTTTGCCACCTACGACTCCTCTGCGGGAACCCTCGGAGATCCCACCATCGCTGCCACCTACAACGGAGGAAACTTCAAGGCCAGCGCCGTTGTCAATGGCCTCAAGGGCGACGATGTGCAGGCAACCTACACCCAGTCAATCAACTCAGACCTCGATGTGGCCGGAACCTTCTCCACCAACGGCAACAAGTTTGCCCTCGGTGCCTCGTACAAGGTGGACGCTGGATCCTCAGTCAAGGGCAAGATCAACTCCGACGGCATCCTCAACCTTGGATACAAGCGTGAGGTCGACAAGGGCAGCGTGCTCAACGCTGGCTTCCAGGTTGACACCAACAACGTTGATGACCGTCACTTCGGCATCTCCTTGGCCATGAGCACATAAGAATCTGCTCGGTACGTTGTAGCCCAGAGTTTTGATGAGTGGCTGTTGCAAACTGTACATTTTTCCTCTCTATTTTGTAAAAAAAATACAAAAACATGATTTAATGCAAAAGACCGATGATGTGGATGCTGGGAGCATTTCACCTTTGCGCACTGTGTGTACAACAAGACAAGAACATGATTTAATGTACAAGATCAATTTCTGGTTTGAATGCGTCATAGCAATTCGACACTGAAACTCTCCATCTCGCGGTATTGCCGCGCTAGAATCGTCTCTGTCTCGTGCAGCCGCTGCTTGTAGTCGTTGAGCTGCCCTCGCAGTCGCTTCTAAACCTCCAGGTCAGCTGCTCCCCTCCGCTCCCCTCCGCTCCCCTCCGCTCCCCTATTTCTCTCCTCCCTTCTCCTCCCACTCACCTCCTTGGTCTCCTTGGCCTCCATCACTTGCCGCATGCGTTGGTTGAACATGCGCAGCTCTTCTAGATAAGCTTGCTTGACCCCCTCCATCAGTCGCCGAGACTCGTCCTGCTTCCCGCCCTCACTCTCTGCTACACTCAACTGTTCCACCATCACCTTGATGGTCGAAACTTGCTGACTGTGCCTTCCCACCATATCCTGAGAGTGTGAGGATGACGGAAATGGAGGAAGACATGGAGTAGAATACCCGCACTCTCTCGCACACGACGTCGAGCTGGAGCTGGTGGGCGTCCACTTTGTTCACGAGCTCTTTGATCTCCTTTCTCTGTTGTGTTGCATCAGCACGGAAGGGTAGGGGGGGGGTTGACATGCAAGCAGCCGACCTCAAGGCGGCTGAACCGTCTGTGGGAGACGAGGAAGGAGTTGTGCTCGTCATTGAGCCGGTTGATCTGCGAGAGGATCAGGTTGCAACCAACGCGGCTTCTCCATCCTAACTTCATCCTCCGCCATCTGTTGGGCTCTTGAGTTGACTTCCTGCGTTAGCCTTGACCTGAGCCAGTGGTCATGCCACATTACGGCACTTGTCATGCACGAAGCATACTTGGCGTCGTTGAGCTCCTTCATGGCCTGGCTGAGTTCTGATCGCAGATGCATCAACTTCTTCTGATGCTCCTCCTCGAGTTTGCTGAAGCTCAAGTCAAAAATGAGCATCTTTGAAGGCAAAGAGCAACAATCCGCCGCAGCAATTGTATGAAGATTGAACTATTGGAGAGTGAGAGATCAAGTTCTACATCCAAACCTTCTGTTTGCTTCCAATCGAGCTTCAAAGTCTTGTTCAAGTTCAACTTCGAGTCTTTTCAGAGCATTCTAGTACGGACGGCATGAGCACAAGGAGGCTGAGCAACCAACCATCACCTGCTTGTCCTCCTCATGCTCCTTCAGCAGCTTTTCCTTCAACTGATACATTCTCGTCATCAGACCGCCATGTTACAACGCACCTACATCTTCCAGTCGTTGCTCGTGCCTCTGCTCCATATCGTCCATCTCGTTCTCATGAATCGCTCGCAACCGCTTCTCTAACTCGATCAAGTTTTCTTGCGACGACTCCTTCTCACCGCGCAGCTTTTCTTCCCACTGCTTCCTTTCCTCCTCTTCCTTTTCCAGCATATCCTGCACTTTTCTCTCAAAGAAACCAAAAAATCGCACACCCTCAGCACCTGGACTTGCTTCATGTGCCCAAGTTGCATAGTCTTCAAGTTTTCAACATGTTCACGTTTCAGATCTGAGAGCTCATCACACTAGCGGCAGAACTTTCTTCAGATAAAACCATCGAGAATGCTCTGCTTTTCTGCTTCCAACTTTGAAATCTCCCGCTCCTGAAATCAGACACTCATGAGTTGAGCTCGTCATGCAAGAGATCTCTACATGCTTCTCCTGCTGTGTTTGCTGGTTGATGATCAGCCTGTCAATGTGGAGTTGAATCTCTTTGAAGTCAGCCTGTCAGCAGCTTGTTATCGTGAGGGGAAGCAGTGCAGAAGAAAGATACATTGAACAAGGATTGAGTCTGAGTATGAGACGAAAGTCTTGTCATGATGTTTTCATGAAGCTCCTGTGGTTGATGGTTACGAATGAAGTCAGAACAAAGTCTCCTCTCTACCTTCACTTGAGCTTGCAGCACCAACACAAAATCATACAGCTCTGCCTTGGGCGTCCCTGAAACCTTTTCAGGCAGAGCAGAACCACGGGAGGAAGAAACTGCGACAGCAGACGAGGGAGTGAAGTTGGGACAGGGCGAGGTAAGGGCAGGCAGCCGCGACGTGAGGATTCGAGAAGGTCAAGAAGAAGAAAAGGTAATAAGGCGAAGAAGCATTCAAGGGCGGAGAAGATGATGAGGAGGAGGACGAGGAAAGGATGGCAGATGAGGTGTTCGTAACCGATGGTGGTACCAAAGAGAACAGCAAGGAAGGAGGAGAGGAGCGAGGCTCGAAGCTGGTACCGGCTCTATCAAGAGCTCCTGCATGGCTGGTAGGAGGAGGGCCTTGTGTTTGTCGCCTCACCCGCCGCTTCGCCTCCTCGTACTCGGCATTGCTGAAGCTGCGCATGCCCGTCGGAGACGCCAATGGAGGGGAGAAGGTGAGCGTATGCAAGGGTGGGGTCATGTGGGTCAATTGAGGGGGTAGGGTGGAGGTGAATTCAGATCGGGCTGGTGAATAGAACACAGACTGAAGATTGTTATCTAAACACGCTCAGCATGCTATCCTCCTGCTCCTCCTGCTCCTCCTGCTCCTCCTGCTGAGTTCGCTCCTGTGACTAGTTGGGCCTGAATGATCGAACGGGGTTTCCCTGCCCTTGCATGTTGTCACTGGTGTTGTTGGTCATCATTGTAGGTTTGCCAGCTTCAATTGCCTTTGGTCGGAGGGCTGTGGCTGAAATAAAAAATCATTTGAAAAGATCACTTTGACAACAATGATTAAGATTGCAAGAATACGAGGGATAACAGTGATGATCAGAACGATGAGGATGATGTGAGTTTACCAACGAAATTGTGTCGCATCCATCTCCTTTGGTCCAGAAGGGCGCACTCGTCTTCTAACCTTCTCTTTTGTCTCGCTTCATGTTGCAACTTCGTATGCAGTCCGATATTTGAATTCTTTTCTACCTCCAGTTCCTTTTCCAGAGCTTTGATCTTTGCTTGCAATATATTCACGGCAGAGACCTTAATCAACTGTTAGTTTGCAGAGCTCGTACTGCTTGTACATCTACTGTCACCTGTTTTGCATGCATTTCTGTCATAGTAGCTTTGAGCTTCTGATATTTTTTGCCAAGGTCATCAAATTTTTCATGCTCTGCTTGGATGCGCAATGAAGATTGGTCATCCCAAAATTGTAGAGCTCTGAATAAACTTCAATTCCTCTTAAATCAAGTTTGACAAAGCAAAACCTTGCACTCAATGCAAGAATGGTTGAGGGATCATAGCTAAAATCATCTCTCAACTTTGAAAGAGAATATAACACATTTCCCACCCGCAAAGTGCCATAGAGTTCTGTCCTCGGATATTTGGAACGCATGTCGATACGTCTTCATTGGATAAGGAACATTCACAAAAAGTGCATCTTGCATTGCGTAATATCGCATCGGAGCATGTTGAACAAAAAGCATGTCCTAAACCCACGCACACACAATCATTACAAGATCTTGTATCGGAACATTTGGAATTTCGTACCGCATGAGGTGATCAAGAATTCCGTTCCAGTCATATCCGAACGGCAGGAGGGATAATTGCATTGCATTTTCTGTCCAGGCTCCAAAGAAACAAGTATAAGAACCCTGAGCTAGAAGCATTCTAGATCATCATCACATCTTTGGTTTACTAGCAATTCCAACTTGCGTCAAGCACATGCATTGAATGTCTTCCTTGCTCCGCACGTTTTTGTTTGTTACACTTAAAAAATCTCGAAAGAGCAGATACTTTTACCTGAAAACAATTAAGAAGAAATATGCTTCTTGTATCAAACAAATCCTATCCCGCATTGTTCAGTCTTGCATGTGACTTTGCAGTCCTCTTCTCTTGCATGCCATTTGTCGCGCCCTGCTGCACAAGCCATGCGTCGAAAAGTTTGTGGCTTCTACTCCCGCCAAAACAACTCGATCACCCCACCCTCCCACTTCAAATTGAAATGATGGGTAGGGGTTATCAGTCCGCAATAAGTAAAATTACTACCATTGTTTAGACTACCCCTACCCCTTCGTGGAATATGTAAGTATAGGGTAGGTGGTGATGAAGGTCTTGAAATCTCTACCAGTACCCCTGGTTCCATCATATTCAAATGCAACAATTCAGGGGTGGGTAGTGCGCCTCCATGAGTGGGGAGGAGGGATCAATGCAGAGCCCAGGGAGAACAGTTGGAGGAGGAGGAGGAGGAGGAGGAGGAGGAGTGCTGTAAACAGTCTTGATACTACGAAGACAGTCATATCATCTTGCATTGGAGATAGGAACAGAAGAGGAAAAGTTGAGGATTTCAATCTGAATCGCAGATGCATAACGCTATGAAACCGTGTGCTTTCTCTCTAGTGGGTTCATTCACTAGAAAAGGTCGCTTCCCATCAATATTTCGATTGTATGCTATGCCATTACAGACCCCTTGCTCGACCTGGAACCCACCAAAGGCCTTCATTGCCAATTCCATTGGCGCTTTCAGTATCTGTGTTAGAACCAGGGTGAGGTATTCAACCCCCATTCTGCCGCATCAGTCTGCCTCTACATTCCATTGCCGTCGTCAATTATCGGTCGGTCCAGATCGACGTCACGGAGAACAGCAGGAGCTGACTTACATCTACCAAAACACTCTATCAATCATCAAAGAAGCTTTAAGATCTACATTGAGCTCTATAACTTCTGTGAGAACAAACAGTCCAAAGATAGCAACAGGGTTTGGAAAACCGTCAGGCTTCATGCGTCGACTATCTCAGTATTTAGGTTTGTGCATATTTCTCTTTTGATCTTTCTGACAGTTTCTAGGCCCTGAGATGAAAACGATTTCGCTCGCGCTCTCAACATTGCTCTTGACTACTCCCATCACTCTCTTCTTTCCCTCTGCAGTTGGTCAGGTACGAGATCTACTGAATGTTGGCAACTTATCCTTCCTTAACTTCACTACTTTCGCTCGCGTCCCACGCAGCTGATTGACATTTCCACCAACGCCAACTCATCCGTATGCTGTGTCGTTGTCATCCAGTTGCTCATAGTGAGATCAGGTCAGCCCGCTCTTGGTTGCGGGAGCATTGTTTGGACTTTTCTTCATCCAGGTGGCTCATAATGCAGTGCTGTTGGTAGATGACGTGCTGCAACCAGGGAATATTCATGTCGATCAGAGACAGTTTGATGTCAATATCGGGGGAGAGGTTTGCTGCCAGGTGAGCTGCACTTTTTCTTGCGTGATCCTCGTCAGATGTCAAAGACGGGAATTTGTCAGATTGCGCACGGAGACATTTGCTGCAATGATGCGGCACGATACTTCCTTCTTTGATACCAGAAGTACTGGAGAACTTATTGGGAGGTCTGAATACACTGTCACGATTCCAAGAAGATTTGATGGATGTTTTTGCTCTGAAGACTATCAGGAGATGTCCAGATTGTCCAGAAAGCAATCACCAGCAACATCACCAACCTTTTGCGGTCTGGAGGTGAAAGAACACGCCTTATCTATCTGCGCTCAAAGTATTCTTGACTTGTATCGTGGTTCCAACAATGTCCTCAGGAATGGCCATTGGTTCAGTCGGTATGATGATTTACACTTCCCCACAACTGGCCTTTGTTTCACTACTGGTGCATCATAATCAAGGCTGTTGCTGTTCTCATCTTGCAGATCAGGTTCTGCCTTGCGGTGCAATCTTTGCTGTTGCTATCGGCCGCTTCATGAAGAAGAAACAATCTGAGGTGATCAGAAATATGTAGAATTTTCCTCTTAGAACACGTTCATCTCTCAGGTTCAAGACACGCTGGCACTTTCGATTGCAAAAGCAGAGGAAGTTTTTTCGAATATCAGACTTGTACGGCAGGTTTAGGTATCCCTCACGCGATGCGATTATTGTGATGCCTGTTTTTTCAGTTTGTTAGAGAGGATTATGAAACTGACAAATACAAGGAGTTGGTCGATTTGTCAAGGTGCTTTTACCGTTCGAACTTTGATTTGCATTTACCTCCAGCAATGTTTTTGCAGGGATCAATCGATTAGTGTAGGAATAGCAAACTCGCTCATGGGATCGTCGATTCACATCGCCTCGAACATTTCTTTGGCAGCAGTTCTCGGGTGACAAGAGCAATCTTTGCTTTCCCCTCTTGTTATGAGAAAGTGTACACACAGATATGGCGGGCACCTTGTCCTGTCCAGCCACATGACAGCAGGAGCTTTGACGTCGTTCCTGCTATACTCGATCTTCACGGGTTTGCTCTCAAATCTGCTGTTGTTTCTCATAAACTTCGTCTTGACAGGATTCAATTTCGGAGGGTTGGGGACAGTTTATGCAGATTTCATGAGGGCGGATGGGGCAGCCAAAAGGATCTTTGAGGTGATTGGTTGCTGTTGCTAGAAGAACTCTTCTTTGAAAGATGATGTTGCAAGATCATTGACAATCAGGCCCCGGCTTCAGCGAAACATGATGGTTGCTTGCAAGTGTTATGTGTAACTTCTGTGACGTTCTATCGGGAAGATGTAAACATATCGAGCATAAGGGGGCAAGTTGAGTTTCAGAATGTAAGCTTCAGCTACCCCAGGTACGCGTGCGTTAAACCCGAACTTTGCACGACTGAAAGTTTTCGTGATCAGCCGCGATGTCAAGATACTGAACAACATCTCACTTTCTGTCGGGGCCGGCCAGGCAACTCGCCATCTTCACCATTACACCCTCTCATGTTGTCGTGACTGACTGGCAGGTCGTCGGAGTCGTCGGTAGCTCGGGAAGCGGCAAGAGTACTTTAGGTGTCCTCCTGACTCGCTTGTACGACCCTCAGGTATGGCTGCGAGAGTCTCGAGTTTGTGTAAGAGAGCGAGACAGAGCGGAAAAATTCTCATCGATGGGATGGACATCAGTAGAATGTCTCCTGTCGCCTTGCGAACGATCGTTGGAGTTGTGCCGCAGGTTCCCTGTGGGTGTGGCGGTTTCCGAGCAAGCTCACAATCAATACAGGATGCAGCTCTGCTAAGTGGGTCCATCGCTGAAAACATCAAGTTCTGCTACATGTGCTTGCCTTCCTTCTTAGATCAGAATCTGCCAGGTACGGGAAGATGGCGGCAACGGACGAGGAGGTGGTAGCTGTCGCAAAAGCTGCGCATGTCGACGACTTTGTCAGTCGGTGAGAGACAGGAAAAGTTTCGTCCGAGGTCTTAGAAGGTTCAAATAGTTTTCCTCATGGCTACGAGACTCTCGTCGGGGATCGTGGGATTCAAATCAGTGGAGGGCAGAAGCAACGAATTGCCATCGGTGAGTTTGGGAGGCAGTGGGGAGAGGAAGGGATGTATGGTAGAGGAAATAGAAAGTTTACGAAGAAGTTAATGGAGGAAAAGAATCTAGGATAGAGAGAAACGTTTGAAAGCAGTCTGACTCTGTTGCTAGCTCGCGCACTGATCAAAGATCCGAAGATTCTTATCCTCGATGAGGTCCTCCCCTTCCCGTCTCCACCTCTCGACCACCACTTCCTCCTCCTCTATCCCTCCCGCATATTCCCTACTCCTGCTCCTGCACCTGCTCCTGTGCTTCCCTCCTCTCCCTCTGCCATCAACCTCTCCCTCTTCTCCTCTTCTCCTTCTCATCTCATCATCAAAGGCCACAAGCTCTCTCGACCACGAGAGTGAATTTCTGATTCAACAAGGTGCCGCTCCCTCCCACCCACCCGCTTCCTCTAACTTGATTCCAGCGCTTCAGGAGGCCTCCAAGGGACGAACGGTCCTCAAGATAGCTCACAGACTGGAGACTGTCTTGTCTGCGGTGCGACAACTATCGCCATTGCTCTCCTTCTAACACTTCCTCATGTTAGGATTGCATCCTAGTCCTGAACAAGGGGCAGGCCCGTTCCTTCTCTCCCATTCCTTGGGAATCTGAAACGTGCCAGCAGGTCGTCGAGTACGGGAGTCCTCGCGAGCTGCTTGCGAGGGATGGAGAGTTCAAGAGGATGGTGGGGCATGTCGGTAGCTACGGGGAACCTCTTCAAAGTCGCAACGACTGCAGGGATTGTGTCTGCCTCAATCCCTATGCCGAACATTTCATCCCCATATTTTCGGTAGATCAGGGTTAGCGCTGCCTCCTGCACATTGGGGTCGTCTCGATACTCCAGCATCACTGCAGCTGCGGCTTTCATCAGCTGCTGTGCTTGTCTTCCTTTCCTTGGACGATTCTTCTCGTCTGTCGCGAGGGCAGCGAGAAGTAGGATACAACTCGCTAAAATCTTAACGGTCGGACCTGCCGTCAGAGTTGACAGCACCGCCTCGACTCCGCCAGCCGCCTTGATCTCCCTCCTCCCCTCCTCGTCCGTTGCAATGTTTGTCAAGAGCTCAAAGGCCCGGATCGGCAGCACCAGGTCCTCAGTCTTCAATAGCGCCAAAGCCATCTCGATCTCTTCTTGTGCCCTATTATTTGTCTGCCCCTCCTCCTCCTCCTCCTCCTCCTCCTCCTCCTCCTCCTCCTCCTCCTCCTCCTCCTCCTCCTCCTCCTCCTCCTCCTCCTCCTCCTCCTCCTCCTCCTCCTCCTTGTCCTCCTCCTCCTCCTCCTTCTTGGAGTCCTCCTCCTCCTCCTCCTCCTCCTTCTCCTCCTCCTTGTCGTCGTCGTGGTCATCCTTCTCCTCCTCCTCCTCTTTCTTCGCACCCTCTGAGAGCTTCACTAGAATGCCCATACTTTCCTTCTGTACATCAAGATTGCATTTGTGCTCTCGCATTACTCGCATCACACTCAGCTTTGCTTGCCTGATCACCGCCACCCAACTCTTGTTAATATGCAGCTCATGTCCAAGGAACCTGAGCCCTGCTAACTGCACTCGCCCGTTTCTTCGATGCTCTCGCATGGCTCCTAGCACGATTTGAACAATCTGAGCCCCGGTATACCCGTCGGTTTTATGAGGCGACATAAAGAACCTCTCGCACACCTTCTTGCACGCTCCCTGAGGTCGATTTTTCTTCCGAGTCGCCACGCAGCTAAGGATGACCAAGGCGTTTCGCTCTTCGTCGTCACTCATGCTTGATATAACCACCTCCCTCCCTCCTGCTTCGTGGAACTTTCTTCGCCCCTCCTGATCTTGCACGAGCCTCAAGAGTAAGACAAGACTATAATATAAGTTCCATCTCTCTCTCACTGACTTCAGCACAGCTTCGATCCCTCCAGCTGCCATGAACTTGTTCTGCGCCTCCTTCAACTCAAGTATTTCACTGAGCACACGAATCCCAATGAATTGCACATTCAAGGTAGCGAACCTTCGAAGGGCTTTCATCACCACCTCTAATCCTCCTGCTTCAAAGATTTTCTTCTTCATCTCAAGGGATGCTGAATTTTTATAGAGCATTCCAAGGCCTAATCGCTGCACCATTGCGCAGTTCTTGTGGGTCCGCATGGCTTTCAAGATCATCTCTGGAATTCCTGTCGAGAGTGACTTGTATGAAGCAAGACGGCAAAGAATCAAGAATATTTGCTCATACGAATCACCTTTCAAATGGCAGTTACGGCTTTCAACCACCTTTATCAGCTCGTTTGCCCGCATCTGTCTTAGCCCCTCCTCATGCAGCGACAAGGTGTCGAGCAGCTTCACTCTTGTTGCCCGCATCCACTCATCGTCCTTTTCCATCGCTTGCAAGGACGAGGTCAAGATCTTGGCGCCTCCCGCGCTCAAGATTTCTCTCAGCCCGTCCTCATCCTTAGAGAAACATTCGAGTATCTTCAGTCCACTTTGCTGTACATCTAGTGAATCCACGTGTTCCTTCATGGCTTCAAGAGTTGCTTCAACTTCGCCTGCTAGTCTTATCGTACGCCCAAACAATCCGGATTCGTCGAGTGAAAGCCGTTCAAACAACGTCAACGCGGCTTTCTGCACCTTCACCTCTCCTATATACTCGCGCATGGCTCCAAACAACGCCTCTACTCCTCCCTCTGCTCGGTTTCTCGCCTTCGTCGCGAGGCAGCTCAGTAGAGCTCAGTAGAGCTTCCACCCTTGATCCTCTTGTGAGATCCTTCCCAGAACCTCTGTCCCACATCGCTGCACGATTGCATCGTTCTTGTGTTCCATCATGGCCTCGACTACAGTCTTTGCCCCTGCTGTAGCACCAATCTCCTTCCGTATCTCGTCATCTCTCACGATCTTTTCAAGCAGCTCTGCTTCTGCTCTCCGCAATCTCCACGACCCTGTATGGTGCAATACATGATCCAGCCATGTCTCGAGTCTCCAGTGCAATCTCTGCTCTTTACGTACATTCCTCTCCGACGGCCCCAGCAACTGCCACAAGGCCTCGAGGCCTGCTCTCTGTATCTTCACATCATTCCTGTGCTTCTGCATGGCACCCAGCACTGCCTTGACCTTGTCTGTTGCTCGCTGCTGCTTGTCCCACCCGATGGTGTTGAGAAGCGCGAGCCCTCCTCCTAGTATCTCCGAGTCATCATGCGCAAGCGTCACCTCCAGCACTGCGTGGGTCCCTCCCTCGCTTCGGATCGCCTTCACGTTGATCGGCATCTTTGCTAGTCTGCAGAGCTCATGTAACGCATCCTGACATGCCGTCACGTCGTTCCTGTCGTTGCTCATCGCCTTCATAACTTCCTTGAGGTTCACGACCCCTGGAGGCCCCTGTGCCTGCGAGAAGGAGGAGAGTTGGTCTCGAGCCCCCACGTCATTGCCCTGCTGCCTCTTGCCGTGTGCGCAAGTCTGAACCTGCTTCAAGTCTTCTCCAGACTACTCAGTGCCCATCGAGTCTGAATTTCCAGCATCTTCTGCGACATGCGCTGAGTCAGTGAGTCGGAGCCGTTGACAGTAGACCGTGATTGAACTTGAACTGAGCAGAGACTGAACCTTGTCAGGGGTGGCATCCCTGTAACCTTCTCCGTGTCCGATACCGCCGGTATCGGACACGGTCCCGGCGGCCCGGCAGGGTTACAGTTACTTTGACTCGGAGTCCGACTCGGAATCACTGATCGTCGGAGTCGTAGGCTAGTAACGGGCTCCGAGCCGCCGGCTGCGCCCGATGATCATCGCCGGGCACCGGGCGGCCGGGGGCGGCCGGGCTGGGCCTGAGTCACTGCCGCCGTGTGAGGCTAGCGCGGTGGTCCGACGGACCGGGACTGAGACTCGAGTCGCACTGCCACGGTTACGGTCAACTTGAACCTGTCACCCGGCAAACATGCGCCTTAAAAAAGAGTCAATTGTTTTTTCATCAAGCAACGATTTTCATCATCCTGCTGCACTGCCGCAGTCACCACTGGCTGCATCATGGCGGCTTCCGAAGTTCGGCCCGCTATCAGGCTACAGTGGCTGTACCTGCTGTACTAGTCCCAAGTCACCAGTGACTGCCAGCCTGTCACGTGTGTCATGATGGATCATGGTCCCACGGTCTGATGATTGTCCTATCAGTGTCACGGTGCTGAACTAGTAGCCGGGTGGACGATCTTTATCAGGCTGCAACGGTCAGCCTAATGTTGAACCGGGAATCTGCTGGGAGCAGTCTTTCTTGAAGGATAGCACTGACTTTGAACTGAGTCGTCCGAGGAGTCGGTGATTGTGCAAACTCTACAAATCAGCAGCCTGGAAGTTCATTCATACACAGGTCGTTTTCTTAGTGCATCAGGTGTCATGATGCTCATAAAGCTTCCCACAAGCTTCGATGGGACGTAAGAAGATGATGTTGCCGCTATAGTGCAGATGAAGAATACACTGCATGCAGGAGTGTCGCGGTTACATCTACCACCAGCGCACGTCAGATTCTCGTGCTTGCCTCGCTCCTGATGCTCTTCTCCTGCCACGTACGATTTCATCACCGCAGCTCACACCTGTCTCCATCTATGGTCCTGACAAGTTGTTTCTTGCTGCTCAGGTCGGCTGGTCATACCCCACCTACAGCGAAAGCCCCGTCGGGCAGGTGACTGGCCATGCTGCTGCAAGTAAGGTGACGCTTGACGCTGTCGCGATAGATGGAGACATACGACAATGGCGCTGAGGAGATGAAGCACAAGAGGAGCGAGATCAGATGGCGACTTGCAAAGCTCTCAGAGCAGCGAGCACACAGGCCAAGGAGGGTGGGGGCATTTACGGCTACTCCTCTGCAATGTGACGGCTGAGCAGGTGGACTCAAACTCGTCTGTGCAGTGTGTGAACCAGTGGGAGCTGGATCGACAAGAGATGAAAGACCTCGATGCCCTCTACCGCCAGACAGACGCCGCATCTACCCCTCAGGAGCTCGCACAGGCGGATGATGAGGGCGATGCTGCCAGCGTGACCCGTTCGCAGGACCTCCGGGTTGACATGACAGGCATTGGCTCAATCCTTGTCCGCTCGCGTTCACTTCTCTTTCTCCTTTCCCCCTTATGTGTCACGGCCCGGACTTTGAGTTAATGGTCGCGCAGGAGCGCCGTACCTTGAGGCTCCATGCTGCTGTCCTCCAAACTGGTGCTGCCAGGCTTGCCGCTTGACGTAGCATCTTGTCATGTCATGCTTGACAGGTGCCCAATGAACATCTGCCCTCCCTCCTGGTGTGGCGACAAGATTTTATCGTAGGGAAGGAAACTAACTACGTCTTAGAGAAACGGTGTGTTGGATCGTTTGTCATCTATTCGATATCTTATAGAGCATGACAGATGTATTCGCTGAGCGGAGAGCGTCGGGTCAGCGTCAAACATCATATTTACACAAGAAGCCCGACAGTCATGCCGCTTGGCTCTCAGAAGCAGCAGTAGTTGGCAATCAGAGTGCCCCGTGTGAGTTTGCCTAGTCCGCCTCGAATCCTTGCACAGCTGTGGGGCCAAGTGAGCATACAGATGCAGGGACGGAAAGGAGACGAACCGTCTGAGGGCGCCTCGTCCAGCGAGACCGAGTCCGATCTGATCATCTCCTGTCCCCCCTTGTTCCCCTGCATTTTAAGAGTCAGATCAGCCGCACTCTAGAGATTCGAAAAATACATGTGATTTAAACCACGAGAACCATCCCTTTCCGTTCTTTTTCGGCATTGGAGGCGCGGGGCCATAAATTTGTTTGATCCAATCTTCTGGCTCCAAGTCATACTTTCCTCCAAGACACTGAGCATTGTCGTCATTGCGAACGTGAATCATGCATCGCTCACCTTGGGGATCGTGTCATCTGAAAAGTACTGTCTTATCTTCTCAGCGTAATCGTCTCCAACAAAGACGATTTTCTGTGATAACTTCAGCAACGAGGTAGGGTAAAGCAGAGGAGCTTTTACATTCACTGTGCGAGGAGCAAGCCATGGTTTGATCACACGCCACATCAACCAAAAGAAAGAGGGAGGATTCAAAACAAGGCAAAGCCCCATCCTCTCTGGATAATAGTTCTGAAGTGCTGATATCGCGTTCCATGCAAACTTAGCATCTCGGTTTCTCTTTGAGACCAAGAGTTGAAAATCAAACGCAAGCAGACACGCCAAATCATTCGAGCAGGACACGTCAGAATTGAGTCAATGGTGACAACACTCTTACTTTGCTATAACCGTTCAGGTCAAAGACCACAGAGACAGCCTCTTGCCCCTCTTTCAATTCTGAGGCGATCGTCATCAACAAGGCATGAACCACAAGCTTCACCAGAGATTGCTTTCTCGATCATGTAGTAACAATTCTTGATTGCAATCTCACAGAAATCTGGGTCATGGTGTTTCGAGTGAAACCACAAAACAGGCCTTACAACGCAATCAGGATGAAAAAAATAGACCTTTTGCAATCACCTGCCCTGAGAATCGCGGCCATGGAAGTGTGCAGCATTCATATCATAGACATATCGTACACTCTACAAAAACGAATTAATCCACGGCTATTGGGATGAAACCAGGCTTGCCTCGAGCGTGACTTCCCATGGTTTTATTTTGTTCCTCCACTCTCTGAAGACCTCAACGTAAAAACAAGCCCGAGAGATGAGTCGCCACTCCATGAGCTCACATGGTGTTCTTGAGCATAGTAGCAGCCTTGTCGCAATTGAACTCACGGGCGCGCAAAAATCGGAGCAAGTCAGCATCTGTCAACGGAATGTGCTGGGTAGATCCTTTGCAAATCAAATAAACTCAAAAGATCGAAAACAACTTCAGAAATCATTGCTTACGTTCGGTTGGAAACAATTCTCTCATCTTATGTAAAGCAGCTTCCTCAGACGCCGTGAGTCTTCCCAGATACCCTGCGGTAAAGTTGTCGTTATCTAGGAAACGGAAGCTCGGCAGGCATAGAGGAGGCATAGGCATAGTGGATGCCTCTAGATATGATCAGAACAAACATCATGGTGTATGAACAGCAGAGGCACAAGCATGCAAGCTAGCAACATTGCATTCATCTTCAAAAGACAGCCCTGCTCTTGCTCATCTTCGTCGCAATCTCACCTGTTTCAAGCCCCAGCATATCTCCCTTCGACATTTTTCCTTCCGCCTACCAAGATTGCGATGACCCCACCCCCACCCTCTACCATATGATTGTCATGACAAACGTCAGTACCCCTTGTGGACAACACCCACCCGTCAAATGAATAATTATTAATATCCAACATACGGGTATGATCCCCGATTTGTAGTACCCCTACCCTTACTTTCGTCTTTACTCAAAACAGTACCCCATCTGATTCCCGAGTGCAAAGTTTATTCCTCCTGACTCCACCACCCTACCCCCATGATTTACCACCCCACTATACAAATGAATGTTATTGGTATTGGTTTATCGCCATCATTTCACTTATGACCCACCCCTGACATACGTCCGCCCATGAAGCTTGTCGGAGTAGGTCTGCAGGGCCCCCAGAGGCCGAGGGGTAGGGGTATCTACCCCCACCCCCATGACATTGTTATTACTGATTTGTTTTAACTTAACTTTGAGTGAAGGGCGAACCCACACTGATGAATAATAAGATGGTACTGATTATTTTTAACTTAACTTTGAGTAAAGAAGATGATTTTGATGCCTCTAATAAAACAAGATTGTCCTCGTACTGATTTTTAACTTAACTTTGAGTAAGCGGGCACAGGCTGAGGCGGAGTCCGACCCGGGCCGGGCGGCCGCCGGACTCCCTGCCGGCCCGGTGATCGGACTCGACTTAGCGGCGGCCGCGGCCGCCAGGCTCGGAGTTACCGTGCCGCCGTGACTCCGCCGGTAGACTGAAGCCTGAGTCTCGGGCCGCGGCCCGGCCCCGGGGCTTGCTGCCGCACTGCCGTCGGACTACCACCGTCACAGTGACGGTGGGGCCCGCCCGGCCATGATCAAGTTAACATACGGAGTTTAAGTTCAACATTAGAGATTCATCCGAAGCAACTTGCGACCGTCAGACTCTGAGTCACCGTGCTGTGCCAGTGACAATAGCTCACCAGGCTGTCACATTTCAAGTTAACTTAACTTTGAGTAAAGGCTCAGTCAGTGAGAGTCCCGCCAGGCCGGGCTGAGCACCGCCGGACACCGCCGGGCTGCCACTCACTGTCAGCCGCCGTGCCGGGGCCCCGGAGTCTAGCGCGGCCCGGCACTGAGCCGGGGCCGCCGCGACCGCCGGCGGCGGGGGCTCTTGACGACGCTTACTTCGGCGGCGAGTCCGAAGTTCGCTTTATCTCAGGCCATGCCCGACTCGCCGAGCCTATGTCTGAGTCTCGTTACTGCGACTCCGAGCTCCATTCCTGGCTTTCATCCAATGATGACAAATTGCTTTTCAATTCGCTCAAGCTCAACTCTTCCAGAAAGTCGTCGTCGAGATCAGGCGTAACGTTTTCCTGCTCCTGCTCCTGCTCCTGCTCCTGCTCCTGCTCCTGCTCCTGCTCCTGCTCCTGCTCCTGCTCCTCCAATCGCACTTCATTTGACATTTTTACCAAGGGATTTTGCTTTACCTACAAAGAAGGGGTTAATTGAATCCAGTAAACATTCGCAGAATCAGCAAACGCGTGTACCGCTTCTGGAGTCCCGAATTCTTTCACGAAATGAGGAACACCATGCTTTTCCCAAACAGATCGGGAGCCTTGGAGGCTTCGGATCGCTCCGGCCTCTTCAAGCACCCCGACAGACCGTCTCGACCATGCCTCGTACGCCCAGTCGAGAGGTGTATGCCCGTCGCCGGTCAATGTGTTGACGGAGGCGCCGGCTTGTAGAAGGAGGATGATAACTTCTCGTCGGTCCCACCTGGCTAACGACTGTTGTTAAATATAGGCCACATCGCAAACCGCCAATGACTGACCAGCATAATGCAGCGGAGTCCACCCCCTGTAATCTACAGCGTTGGGGTCGACGCCAGCGCTGAGGTAGTGCAACGTCAGTTCGAGCTGACTGATGTTCCTCTCCAGCGCCTTCTCATCTTTTGCCGCCTCTGTCCAATCCAAAAGAAGATGAAGACTGTTCTGCCCATACTGGTTGACTACCGATGGATTCATAGAGTACTTCTGCATGAGCATCTTTGCAATTTCCGGGTAGCAATATCGGGAGGCATAATGCAATGGAGTTTCGAGATTTCTGTCGAGAACATGGGGGCTCGCTCCATGATTTAGGAGAATTTCCACCGTCAAAGTGTCGTTGAAAGTTACTGCCACATGAAAGGCACAAGAGTGCAGAAGGTTGGAAGGGTCGGGCAAATTGACATCGATCTTTCTGGATCTCAGCAGAGATATGATTTTTGGAGTATCGGAATCAAAGACAGACCGCCAAAACAAGACCTGGTCGGAGGATGGCCTGATCTGGTTCACTTTCTCATTGTATTCCTTTCCAAACTCGAAAGCATCAAGGATTCTGTTCAACTCCGCCCGGACATCTTCAGGGTTTTCGTCTTCCATAAGGTTGTCAGATTTCAAGTCAGCCAACAAGTCTAACATTCCTTGATTGCCTTTCTCTCCATCCTGATGAGCGCCTTCATCACGATTTTTCGCCAGACTGTTCAGTGATTCTAGGGTGCTCTTGAAACTTTCCAACTTTTGCAACAATTTCTCGTCACTCGTGAAGCATGGGATCTGCAAAATTCTCGACAAAGTCGCATTCGAAGAGTCAAGATCCTTGATGCATTCCGTGTCTGTGCCATACTGTTGGACTTGGCGTTCTACCGACTCCCTATGCTGGTTGAAAACTCGTGATACATGGTGGCCTTGCTTACGAATGGATGATAGCTTCATTTGAAGCAGTTCATCCAAGTCCACATCCCGATTACCTGAAGCAGAGCCCTTCTGGGTACAATCGTCTTCTCTGATCTGAGGTATTTTATTTGTTAGAGAATCCCTGTCTAAACCTCCCTTGATCCTCAGCATCGAGGGCTGGGCAGTGGCCGCAACGTTGATCAGCCATGTTTTCAACTGTCTTTGAAACGTTTCAGCATTTCCCTTGTTTTCACAGCACAGAGGAACTCCCATGAGCGAGCTCCACAGCATTAGCACCATCAGCTGCTGCCGTCCAGCCGCCATCATCCCTCAACTTCTCCCTGCCATTTTCGAAATTTTCAGTCAAACTTTGGAATTTGCCGGGTCGCTCGGCGGCCCGGAGCCCCCAGATGACCTGGGCGATAGTGGGGAGGAGGGCAAGCGAGGAAGCCGGTGCTTGAGAGGAGGCTGTTTGATTTGTTAGGGGTGGGTGGGTCTGGTAGGGCAGGCCTGTGAATGTCGGGTAGTAGAATCGCAGGGGAAACAGAGGTAGAGGAGGAAATCATAGTACAGATATTTATCGGGTATGATGATAGTAAAAATGCATCAAGGTTGCACACATATAGCCAAAATGGAGATGGGGATCGCCTCAGGTCAATTGACCAGGGGTGGGTATTTTTGTTCAGACCTTTTGGGAGGTGGGGGTGATTGCAGGTTGTCTAGCAGGGTAGGGGTGGTCGGTGTCAGGGCTGGGCACGCGGGGATGGCGGCAGCGGAGGGAGGGAGAAGCTAGAGCTGAGACGAGCAGGAGGAGGAGGAGGAGGAGGAAACATAAGAGGAGGAGGCTTAAGAACCAAGACAGGCCATGACCTCCTAGGGAAGGACCTGTTGCCTGCAGTCCAACCTCCTTCTACCTCGCCCGTGTGCTTCCGTCCTGTGCGTCAGTCATCTGGATTGCAAGCCGTTGGGAGCAAATACCGTGGAATACTCTTGTCGCTCATTACTGAGTTGTGGATTGAAGTTTTCTTGGAACTCACGCTTTATTGATCTGACTAGCGCCATATTGTAGCGGTCAGCTGTCTTCCAGTTTACCAGAGTGTGCACCCCCCTCTTGGCTACTGTTCATTCTTCCTGTTACAACCATGGACATTCCACAAACTTGGATGAATCGCAACGATGTACTCGATGCAGACGATGCCGATGCCTACAACGACGAGACATTTGGCGATGATGGATGGGACGATCCTGTATTTTCATTGATCTGCCCTTGAATGACCCTTGCTGACCTTTCATTGCCAGGGCGCCCCTGCTGATATCTCGGATCTCTCAGCCATGACCTTCACCAAGGTTGATATCTTGCAGGAAGCGGCAAGGGGAGTCAAGCCGCCGAATGGCGGCTCTGCTCCTGTGCAGCGCGATGAGAATTTTGCTTTCCCGTCGCTTCCCACGGCCCCGCCGTTGCTAGGGGAGTCTGGCAAGCCGCGGCTGATGACGCCGCAGATGTTGCAGGAGAGCATGTCTGATCTGCATGATAAGGAGAGATTCTTCTCCTCTGCTTCGAGGGACCTGCCGCTTGATAATCTCGCTGCTCACCATGCTTTCTCTGCTATCGGCAGCGGGGTGCGCAATGAGCCGGGGAGACCGGAGCATTCGCATCCCTTTCACGCACCTCCCATGCCTGGATTTCAAGTTCCTCCTTCCATGGACCAGCAAAAGTTTTTCCAGCAGCCTGGTGTCCCTCATCCTGGGCTTGCTCCTCGCGATATCCCTATGGGCCACATGGGCCGTCCGGTACCAGCTGGCATGCACGGAGGAGCTGCGCATGGCAACATACAGGGCGGCATGGGAGTCCCTCCGGCTATGAAGTCCCTCATGGAGATTGAGGCGCAGATGTTGGCCTCCAGTCAGATGCAGAAAGGGTTTCCTCATCCCTTTCCTGGCAACGTGCAGGTCTTAGAAGAATTTCAGTTGCGCCCCGCCCTGACGTCTATTGGCAGCCTCAAGCTCATCATGGAATGCCCATGCACGACTTGCGAGCACAGGATGATCCGTATGGAAGAATGCCCATCCCTCAGAATCACGATGCAGCCATGGCGAACGAAGGAGCTTACGCCCTCTTCCGTCGGTCGTGGGTAGAACAGTGACTTCTTGCTATGAAATATTTCACTGACGGCAACAACTCAGACCAGGATGAAGATGAGTGAAGTTAACTTCATCTTGAGGCAGGTTGGTGTCGACAAACATGAGTTCTTTCAAGCCGGCTGATATCTTTCACTTAGAATCAGGCCATGTTGAGAGATGCTGCTGCCACAGATGTTTATGCCTCGTGATTATTATGTTTTGCCAAATCGTCTGATTCTGACGGCATTGCAGTATGCTCCTGGCAAAGCAGGGAGAACGGGCAAACTTCTCTGGTAGGAGCCAGTATTCTGAGAGAGACCCTTGTCTAAGTCATGCTGCAGGACCCTTGATCGGAAACCGTGTGTCAAGATTAAATGTTGCACTTGAAGGTGCGCTTTGAAGTCTTCCATGTCTTGGTTCGATGATCCCCGATCCTCGTTTCTCAAACCTTGTTTTCCTCAGGAGCCCTTGGTCGTCCGCCTCCGCGTGACTTGAGGAGGCCGAGACAGGTTTCGAATCAGGGAAGAAGTCCGCTTGCTGACAACAGCTTGACAGCTCGTTAAGATCGAGTCGAGCAGCGATTCATCAGCACACGAGAATTCACCAGAGGAAGGAAGCGAAGTGATCGGACGAGTCCTCCAGCAAGATCTCCCCGAGGTCAAAGTGAATGTAAGCATCTGTGCGTTTACTTGCCACTTTTCGGTAATCTTTGAATCAGGAGGAAGAAGAGAAGATGAACGTTCCGTCAAAGATCTCAGCCCTTCCTCGAGCAGTCAGGAGGAGCGTCGAGGACGCCATGCTCAAGGTGAGAATCAGCAGGCTTCTTCTTCCTCTTCGTGTGACGTCTGCTCGTTGCCCAGCTGCTGGCCATTCAAGACATTGACAGAGGAATCATTTCTGCCCCCGAAGTCGTGAATGTGAGAGGAACGTGTCAATGTTGTAGTGAGATGACAAGTTCAATAGCAACGAGGAGCTCTCGTCGCGAACTACTTTCAGTTATTGCAAGTTAACGGGACTCAAAAGATCCCCAAAGAGAACAGGATCGGAGCAGATCAGTTGTCTCTGCATGAGTGCAAGCTCGACACCGACAACTTCTTTCAGCAGCTGGTGATTTCTCCTCTCTCTCCCTCATCGTCTCAGCGTTGCACCCTACATCTGCTGCTGCTATATTGACTCCCTCAACACCTTTTTTTTCTCAACTATGGTGTTTGGTGCTTTGTTCTTCTTTGTTCACTTTTCCTTCTTATTCCACTTTGACCTGCTCGCAGATTTTGATTCCGAAAGGATGCAAACTTATTCTAAGAGGACTTCACCTCCTCACACCACAGCAGGTCAGCTCTGTAATGCGTTGCAGAATGTTTATTCACCACCTTCTCTCACTAGATTAAGGAAATTCTCGATCATCTATTGCGATGCATTCTTCCAACAGCCTTTGGAATGGCGATCAGCAAGCAAGCGACAGGTGCATGCGTCTTAAATCAGATTTCTCCAAGAAGACTTTGTTGTCATTGCCATTATCACTATTTTTGTCATTGTCGTTGTCATTGTCGTTGTCATTGTCATTGTCATGATCACTCGCGTCTTTCTCTCGTCACTGACATTTTCTCTTGTTCAGGAATCGAGCTAGTGGTGCAGCTCATGGTCAAGCTCGTCTACTCGCTGAATATTTTGACACTCTCGCAAGTTCTGCAGGTCATCACAAAGTCTCTGCCTTGTTCTTTGACGCCTCTGCAGGAGATGATGAACTCCTACACTGACGGAGGGCTGCATCTCATGATGTGTACCAAGCTCGGAGCTCTGGCACTAGCAGGTTGCAGTTTTCCTCCATCCATCCCTCAGCATCGTTCGACTTTGACCCTCGTCCTCGTCCTCGTCCTCGTCCTCGTCCTTCGCCTCTGCCACTACTCATGATTGCTTCCAGCTCTATTACGCCGAGGACACGACGAGTATGTGAAGGAGGATAACGCAGGGACCAATCAGAGCCTCGTTGTGTGGGCGAATCTCTGCAAGATCCTCATCGATCGACTGCTTGGTACAGGCAGAAAGTTCTCTCGCTCCTCCTGACCCGCCGGCAGGTGGGATGGACGCGCTCTTCCTCGCAGCCACTCAAGACAAGAGCATCTCCCTCCCGTCGCAGATGATCACCGACTCAGAGGTGAGGACGAGATATGGTCTCCCGAGCGGGGAGAGGATGGGCGTGGGAGGCAGAGAATATGGGCCAGGGGAGGTGGAGGGGGAGCAAGAATGGAGGTTGGAGGAGGGTGGGAGGATGCAGCTGAGAGCGGGCAGGTGATGGTCGACCTCATCTATGAGCTCGGAGCCAACGCACAGACGGAGCAGCGGCAGACGATCGGAAAGCATCTGGCTGGAGCTGCCGCAAAGACGGGAAATCAGGAGGTGCCGCCTTGCTTCGGTTGAAGTTCCTCTGACGTGGTTTGCAGCTGAAAATGCAGATCGTGCAACTAGCTCAGAGCTTGAGCTTCGGGCATGAATGAAGGAGGAGGAGGAGGAGGAGGAGGAGAGAAGGGTCTTTGCTCATGAAATCTGTTTACCGTGATTTACCTCACGACCTTCAAACCCATGCTCTTGGCACTCGCCATGATCTGCGAGCACCAGTGCTCGAGGGAGATGAACTGCTTGTCTTGCTGCTTGATCTTGGCAATCTCATAGATCTTCTTGACCGAGATCTCGCCCACGAAGGAGCGGCCGGCCTGGTCGGCGCCCTTGGCTATACCAGCAGCCTTCTTGAGGAAGTAGCTAGTTTGCGGGGTCTTGATGAAGTATTCGAAGGTGCGGTCGCTGTAGGCAGTGATCTCAACGGGGACGGGAGTATTGTCGATGATGCCTTTGGTCTTCTCGTTGAAAGACTTGCAGAACTCCATCAGGTTGAGACCCTTCTGACCTGCCAACCTCAACGTGACGTCGCGAAGGACTGCAAGACAAGAGGAGCAGACACTTGAACATGCACGGCAGCTGATAGGCGGGATGGAAGCATCGTTTCATGGAGGAGAGACCGGACGGGACGAGGATGTTTAGGTTGTAAGCAGAGAATTGAGGAGAGAGCGCAGTGAGCAGCAGCAGGAGAGTTTGAGCAAGCGCACTAGACAGCAAGGGAGGGTAATGGAGGTTGAAGACGGAAGAAGGGAGAAGGAGAGAGAAAGGTAGGAGGACAGAAGCAGTAGATCCTGAGGAAGAGGAGGATGTCGTTTTAAGTTTGAGGGCAGATGAACCGAATAACAATGGAGAAGGAGATGGCGTCAGAGAGGAGGAAGGTGAGAGAGAGAAGCAGCAGAGAAAGTGTTCAGTTGAAAGATCTGGTGGGGAATGCGATGGGGGCCTGGCACGAGGATGGGGATGGGGATGGAAAGGATGTGAATGGCTGATGTGCAAGGTGATGCAATCGGCAGGCATCAAGAATATGAGAGAGCTGAGCAAAGGGGAGATGCAGTACAGTAGCCTGGAAGGCAGGAGAATGTGGAAACAGAGCAAGGGGCGGAAAGAAATGGGGGAGACGAGGATGGGGGAAGAGGGAGGAGGAGGAGATAGAGGAGGAGAACGAACCTAGAGCTGGACCGATGGGAGGAGAAGGAGTTGCCTTTCCCGCTGGGACTGTCAGCCGGATCATGCCAGTCACTACCCGAGGACCCGCCGCCGCCGCCGCCGCTCCTCCCTTGGACGCCATGCTGTTGTCAGGCTGGATATGGGGGTAGGTGAGGACCGATAGGGGGGTGGGAATGAACGTGGCCAACGAAAATGGAAAATGCGGGGTAGGGTACTGATTACACGGGGTTCCCCTAAGATCAATTACCCTATGAACGGGGGTTCAAACTTGAATGTCAGGGGTAGTCTTGTGCCTCTGGGGTAGTGATCTAAGAGAGGGTAGTGTTCAATTGAATGAACATACATGGGGGTGGGGTTGGCCTGACGACGATGGCTGTCGGGAATTGTGTGTAAGGACGTGCGAAGGGAGGGAGGGAGCAAAGAAGATGAAGATGACGATGAAGATGAAGATGAAGATGAAGATGAAGATGAAGACGACTGAAAAATTGGATAAACTAGCTGCAGTGTTGTTGATGCTCGTCAGTGGAGCAGGGGCAGTTGGCACTGCTGGTTGTGGAACTTTCTACCAAGACATGTCGTGCAGAGAAGATTGTGGAAGCTGCGGTAGGAGGCGACATTCCTGTCTCATATCAGCTCATGATCACCATGGCAGGTCAGCCTTGCTGTGCCTTGCAGTGGACGATTCGTAAGTCGATCTCACTTGATGGTTGTGATAGTGATGGATAGACAGCCATTGCAGCGTCAGTTACCCTCAACGCCCTCAAAACACGTGTGTTCAATGCGTCCAGCAGTGGAGGATACGACGGAAGGTTTTCTCTCGTCAGCATCTCTCCGCCTGACCTGCTCGAGGGATCTTTCTCCTCCTCTTTCTACTCCTGTAGCGCAGCTGCTCTCTTAGGCCCGAGCGCTGCTGGAACACTACCATGCGTGCTTGTGCAGGGTGAACACCGACCAGCGGGAAGCAGGATGGTCAAATACACAGACAAGCTGAACTTTGCCATCTTCTCCTCCTCCAAGAATGAGACTACTTTGAAAGCCTTCATCATCAGCCCCTTCATCCTGAGCACCTGCGACGGTGGCTCCAACTATCAGTGAGTGATGGAGAGGGCAGAGGGAGCAAGTATTTGGCAGGAGAGGACTGAAGAGGAGAAGGAGGTTGAGAGGAGGAAGATGTGCGACGGACGAGACATAAGTTTGACTTTCTTTCAGGACTCTTCAAAACATCATCTTGCAGCTCGGAGTACCTTCGTACACTCAGTCCACGTTGTATGGGTGTCCTCAGAAATGAGAATGTGTGTGTGTAGATGTAAATAGAAATGTTGTGTTTGGAGCTCTCTGCCACGTTATCGCTCATGCACTTCGTGGCCAATGAAGCTAGGTCATGTGAAGGATGGTTGGAAGGCAATGGAGCATAGTGAAGGTCGGGCTGTGGTGAAGCATCGGATTGAGAGCAGGCATCTTTAAGTGCCATGGCAGCGGAGCATGTTTGGGTGCTTGTCGTTAAAGACCATCGAGTCGAGGCCGCCTTGTGTCTAAGAGTGTTCACACGTAGCAACTTCATTCCTCTGCTTGCTGGAGCAAGAATCCTCAGATAGCGTCAGGGTGCCAGTTCGGCTCGTAGACGTAGGTGTTGACAGGAGCAAAGGCTCCAATCATTGGCACGCCGTAGTCGTTGTACACAGAGTTTGGCTGGACGGCCTTTGCATCGATAGGGATGCCTGCCTCGTGCTGTGTATCTCTGCCCCATCCTCTCATGGGACCGTTGTAGAAGTTGTCCTGCAGCTCCAAGGTCAGGAAGATGAGAACGATGAGCCCTAGGATGAAAGGGAGCAAGGGCAGGGGCAGGGGCAGGGGGTAGAGAGTAGACCTCAGTCCAGTAGTAAGCTCCCGGCACATTGGGATAGACGGCGTCACGCTGCTGAGTGAACTGGGGAGACAGTCAGCACAACGAGGTTTTGAATGCAGTGGATTGACATGCAAACAATCAAAAAGAACGATGAAGCACTCCCTTGATCGTGATGAAACACGATAAAGGATCTTGACAAGTGCTCGTGCGAGTAATTGAGTGAGACACGATCATAACATATGGTAGGATGAGATATGGTGAGATATGGTGATAAGAAACGTGCAGACACCAGTGGGAAAATATAGAAGAGAGGGCACACCAGAGATGAATAGACAAGAGAAGAAAGGAAGTGAGGAGGAGGAAGTAAAGTCAGTGAAGAAGTAACGAGGTGTTGGGGTTGGAAGGAGGAGAAGGAGCGTCGTTGTGGGAGGAGCATGACTGTAGCGAGAGGAGCGAGAGGAGGAATTTTTCGCGCCATCCTCGCATACTCTCTTCCTCCCTCCCTCAGACCTACCGAGAAGAGCGCGAAGAGCGGCGGAGAGATCATGATGCCCTTTCGGAAAAAAAGAATGCGTAAAAGAAAAAAAGAAAGAAAGAAGGGAAAACGGAGTTCAACGGACATGATGCACAAGACAGCGATTAGAGCAGGGGTAGCTGGAGAGAGCAGGAGAAGTCGAGGGAGAGGAGAGGAGGGAGGGGGGAGAGGAGGAGAGAGTCAGGAAGGGCGAGAGAGGAAACATGAAGAGACGAGAAGGCAAGAGGACTGGATGAGAAGGGAAGTTGAAGGAATCTGTGAAGGCCGGCCAGACATTTCAGGCAGCCTCCTCAAGGGTCTTACAACCACAGAAGATCCCGAACCAGCTAGGCGGGTGAGAGCCATGCAGGATCTCAAGGCACGCGCGCCCATTGGGCAGCCAATGGTGGTGTCGAAGGCGATTATCCACCTGCAAGACAGCGACTTGCACGTCCGACTTGCCGCTCTGGACCTCCTCGTCCACGTGGCTCGCAGGGGAGACAGGACTGTCATCCAAGCAATCGTCGCTCAACTTAATGGACACTGCAGAAAGGATCCGACGAACCCAGGAGACGCTTCCTACCCTCACCCGAAGGTGCATGGCCTCCACTACCGATCCATGCGCCCTGTTGAGCCGAGCTTCAAGCACTCGCCCGAGCTGCGGATCGCGGGTATTCAAGCACTGGCAGCCATAGCTGAGGAGAATGACCTTCGCACCACCATCTGCATAGCTGACATCGCAGGAAACGAGACAGATGAAAAGGTGAGAAGAGCGGCAATCAATGCGCTCGTTTCATTCTCCAAGTTCGAGCTCGTGAGGGACATCGAAGCCAAGGTTCTCTCTCCCCCCTCCTTGCTCCCCCTCATCCTCTTCCATCGTACTCACAAGCGCCCGCAGGTTCGCCAGATGAAGCACAAACAGACCACATAGATACCCATTCCTAGACTCGTATATAGATACCCATTCCTAGACTCGTACATCGATACTCATTCCTAGACCCGTACAATTTCAAGTCCTTCCTGATTATACAATCTTTACATCATGAAAATTTGCCCCCGCAGTAATGGGAGGTTGGAGGAGGCTGTTGGGCTTTCGCCCCCTCCTCTCTGCGCAGCTTCTCGATGTACTCATCGAAGGGAATGCTGTTCTTTCCGCTCATGATCTCTGCCGTTAGGTACTCCATGTACAAGTACGCGAATAGAACGAGCGCTGCCAGCGGGATCTGAAACCAGAGCACCACCTTGCTGACTCCGCACCAAAGGACGGCTTCTTGGTCCACGAGCTTGAGATTTCTAACCACGAGAAAGAAAAGGATCATCAAAGGAGGGAACGGAATCCCAATGGTGAAGAAGAAGGACACGTTCCTCATGAAGAACAATTTCCAGCCCTGTAGAGCGTCTGCAGAAGCATCTTCCTTCCTGTTCCTCCCTTCGCTGGTGTCGTCCTCCTTTACATCCTCTTGCAAGGGATGAAGGGCAGCAACAGAATCGCAGTCAGAAGAGTCACTCAGAAACATCTCATTCTCGTCGATGTCGGAAAGATTCTCTTGTTCTCTTGCCAGCAGCTTTTGGTGGCACTGATGCGCTACCTTGGACAGCTGCTCAAATTTGAGTTCCAGCGTCTCATTGCCTTCCCTGGCAGGAGGGAAGCATCTGACAAAGTTGCCGCTGTTCCGCAGGTCATTTTCCTCCTCCGCTTGCTGCCAGTCCTTCGTCTCTTCCTCGCTCCTGCCCACCCACATGTACCTCTCGGTGAAAGGGGGTTCGAAGCGTGGGCGGTCCATATCGAACTCCTTCACACTCGCTCGAATCAAGTCGGACGACTCCTCGTGTCCACCCATCGCTCGCTGCATCTTATGAAGGATTTGGTAGTCATCTCCACTCATCTCTTCATCCGAAACATCCTCGCGTCTCATTTTCATCCTCTTCCTATATTCCAGCTTTGCGTTGAGAATGCGAAACGTGTCGGAGACCAGCGGCTCCTTGACGAGCTGGTCTACCACGTGCTCACAGTGAAAGGAGGGAGAGTGGTTAAACTCGAGCAGCCATGGCTTCAAGTTTCTGTCCACCAGAACGTCCATGCCAAGTAGCTCGAAGCTTCTGTCCCCAAACTTGTCGGAGGGTCTGCACATCTGATGGAAGTGAGCGAGAAGTGGCTGAACGGCTATCAGCGCCTTCACTGTGAGCTCCTCTAGCCGGAGCCATAAGGCATCAACGTCGTGACCGCCTTCCCTAAGATGCTCGAAGAAGATAGAGAGCCTTCGCTTCGATCCCTGCTTCGCGTCCTGCGGGTCTTTGCTCTCTAGGAATCGGAGGGTGTTGTTCTTGTTCAGAGAGTAGTTAGTCAGATGCATGTAGTGCCAATCCTTGTTCGCTTGGTTCGCTATCTCATACGGCTCAGTACAGAATCGTACAAGGCCATCCTTGTAGAGGTAGATTCTAAGGGGATCACAGCATGTGACCAGCACGTACAGTCGGAGGTCGAACTTGTGGCCGTCTGCGAGGAGAGGATCTTGAATGTACTCTTGCACAACGAGCGCGTCTCCAAGGTTCCAGAAAGCACTTTCGATGGCTTCTTCGTCCGCAGTTTTGGTCAGAAAGATGTCCTTGCCCTGGCATCCTCTCTCTGGTTTCACGATGAACATCATCTCGTCGTTCTCTTGGCTTCTCATCTTCTTGAAATCTTGTCGGAAGGCTGCGTACTCGTCAGGGAGCACCCAGGTCCTCGGAACGAAATCATATTCCTCAGGGCAAACTCTCTGCATCTTTGCAAGGTTTGCTGCGAGTTGGCTTTTGGATGTCAGACAAACCATGCCGGGGAAATGGTTCGCTGTTTGTTCACATGCAAGCTTTTTCATCCGTGTTCTCGTTATAGATCGATCAGACCAATACAGTTGATAATGTGCGCGATCATCAGATGTATAAAGTGAATCTTCTATATGTCGCCAACCCATCTTCTCTGCACACGTTCTGATAATTTGATATTGACAGGAGCTGACATTGACGACCAGCTCCTTTGTACCTCCCTCCTCCCTCCCCTCCTCCTTCATCTTATCTCTGCAACAATACCAGTCAGAAAACATGAAAGGTAAAAAAATTTGCAGAAAAATATCTTCCGATCGCAGGCATCGTAGATGAAAAAAACATGGGGATCATATCTTTCTACATCATTTGTAGCACGGAGACTCGAATGTCCTATCCTTGATGGTACTGATAGTACTGTGACCTTCTCCCTCATCATGCTCTTGTCCTTGTCCTCATCTTTGTATAAAATCATTGCTTCACCCTCCTACCTTCTTCCACCCTCTTCTCATTCTCTCTATCTGCAAAGCAATGCGCGGCTCCTCCTGCCATGGGGCGATTGGTGTCGTGGAAAGATCCTCCGGGTTCGCCTCAGATCTTCAGTGAACTCGGGGAAGCCCCGAGGCAGGCTCGAAGGTTTGAGACATGTTTTTATTTCAACCGTTACAATGACTCTTGCGCCCCTTCTCCCGTAACGGTGACGGTTATGACGGGGATTTTTCAAAACAGATCTCAAGCCGTAAATTTGATAGAGAGACATTCAAAAATTATGACCAAATTTGAAAATTAGATGGGACGAATCTGGATCTATGCTGTACCGGTCTAAATACCTTTTCCATTCGGGGTTATACAAGATAGGGGTTGAGCACCCACCCACCTGACCTGCACGATATCCTGATGTTAGTACCGGTGGGTGACGTGAGCATGCGCTCAAAAAGGTGGGGTGGGTTGTCGGCTTACGTTCTACGGGGGTGATAAGACACCCATGAAACTGTACCATGATATATAGATTAACATAATACCTTCTCTATATTCAATACTGTTTCAGAAGAGTGTTCGAGGGGAGAGGTACCCCGAAATCCACAAAGTTCGCAAGATCTATGGCTCTGAATATATTTGGCAGTTTTCTATTTATTTGTTTTTAAATTTCAAATACTATCCAAAGATTTGCATCAAGTATTGAAAAATATATATTCAATGACGTTTTCCGCCGAGGGCATTCACCTGTTGCCCTCACGCGCCTGCCGCTGCGTCCTCGTCGGCTGCAGGCATGCACGATTTTTCCACTCTCCTCGTTCTCCTCCTAGATTATGCGAGCATGGCCCCCAGTGACGTCATGAAGATAACGCTCAGTTTTCTTCTTGTCTCTGTTTCCCGTGCTTGTCCACTGCTTTCTTGACTATTCGATTTCTCAAGTTGAATATCCGCAACTCTCGTGCGCATGTCCTGAAACAGTATCATTGTGAGCATGCTGATGCTCCCTGAAGTACCCCTGCTAGGATCTTGATTATTTTGATATGGTTTCTGAGGTTCACTCTGTTGATTGTGATCCCTTCTGGCTTGCTCACTTTCTCTTGTCTTCTGAAAATAGTAGACGACAAAGTTAAGACAGTACTATTTCGTTCAGCCAAAGAATCTCTCCCGGTTTGATGCTTGCAAGCAAGATATGTCTATCATCTCGTAATAGAGTGTGAACTGATCTTTATAACGTTGTCGTTGCATACACTTCCAATACCTGCTGTCTTTAATCAGTGAAGGCTCTTCTAACATATCCTGCGCAGGAAATTAATAGTATGTTTGGTGGACGAGCAAGGCATCTCTTGCGCGGCGCTTCTGCCTGCTTGTCGCATGTAGAAAGAAGGTTGGTGTTTTTTGGGGAATCTTTGTGGTCTCCTTGTTGACGACGCTTTCTTGCACCAGAGCTGCTTTTTCTTCTGCCACCAGGCGCTCCATCCACAGTACTAGGCCCTCTTTCGATGATTCTGAGAAGAAGATGCCCGATCTGATGGCTACCCTCGACAAGGAACCTCCACAGAAGGTGATTTATCTGTTGCTAGTTTGGTTCGTCTAAATGTATCCTTCAGATTGTGGACTTGGCAAAGCAAATCCTCTCTCTCAACATGCTTGAAAGCAAGGATCTCATGGATATTTTGAAGAAGGAGCTTGGAGTTCCAGATGGCATGATGGGCATGGGTATGCCTGGCGCTGGCTACCCAATGGGTGCAGCTCCAGCAGCTGCACCTGCACCTGCAGCTGCCCCAGCAGCAGCAGCGGCTCCAGCGCAGGAAAAGACTGATTTCGAGCTCAAACTTGAATCTTTCAATGCTGCGGATAAGCTGAAGGTGATTAAGGAGATCCGTGCCATCACAGGACTGGGGCTTAAGGAAAGCAAAGACATGGTCGAGAAGGTTCCTTCAGTTCTTTTGGCCAAGGTCACCAAGGCTGATGGAGAAAAATTCATCAAACAAATCGGGGATGCTGGAGGAAAAGCTGTGTTAGCTTGATTATTGAGATCTCTTTTTATTGCGACAAAGGAGATATGCATAGGGGGTATTCCAAAATATCTTTTCTGAACGAAGTAAGGTTCTAGTCCTGAAAATGATCGTTATCATCCTGAAAATGAACATACAAATTGATAATGAACATCCTACACAGCGGTAATGCGCAGTGCTCACTCTCAACACAATTTGATTCTATCTGTCATGATACAAGGCAGCGGTACCTCTTTGTTGCCCTCTAGAACGTGTACAGGGTCTTAACAGCTATCAGCCGACGAACCAACTCTATGCATGTCATCGAAGACTTTGAAGCGGTTGGGGTCGAATGGGCTGATGTCAACGGACTTGGCTACGCCGTCGACGATCAGCTCGCTCATCACAAGGCCTGTAGCTGGGCCGTTGAGGATCCCCCAGCACCTGTGCACTATGTCAACCCCATAGTCACCCAACAAACTTGCACCACCCACCCGTGCCCTGTTGCTATGTAAACTCCCTCCACCTCTTCAAGCTTTCCGATCAGTGGCAAACCGTCAACTGATATCTGATCGCAAGGCCAAGATCAGATGCAACCATGATCGGACAAGCCAAGTAACCGGGAGATAGCAAGCTTGATACCTCGTCACTTCAGCCCGGCCGAGTTCGGTCGAGACCTGAAAGCATGTAACTCCTGAGTAATCATCAGTTCTATTTGTGCACAAGTTTCATCGTCTCTGTCAGTCTGTTTACAACGTCCGGGCGTACCACTTCCTGCCCAGGAAGGTCCTCGACAGCCACTGGAGTATCTGGGAACCCAGTGACATAGACCTTGAGGGAAGACTTTAGACCCATCAAGCTGACCATTCAAAAGCATCCCACCTCCCCCTTGGGCCTCGGGTACACTTCAGGGTCACCAAGACCATGAAAAAAAATCGCTTGCGAAAGCTCTCGTTCATTCTGGTGGGAAGCAGTCAACAGGCGGCTGTACGAGTCGAGCTCAAGGACCTGCATCAATACGCTGTGATATTTCTGGCCAAGCATAGGCGGTAACTTCAATCCCTGCGTGCACTGCGAGCTCCAGGGCCCCATCGCAATAACAACTTTCTCGCAAGGGACAAACTGAGAGTCGACAATGACTCCTGCAACATGTTTCGAGTCACCGCGGAGTTCCGTCTTGATCTCTTGTACAACTCCAACGTGAAACGAGCACCCATGATCCAGAGCCGACTTCATCAAAGCCTCTGTCAGCTGCTTCGGGTGAACTTGCGCGATGGTCTTCTCCGTCCCCATCACTGCATGCCCCTGCACTCCAATATCGACCCATTCAACGCCGTCCACTCTCTTGGGCTCTGAGCCAGATGGTCCACTCACAGCCACTTGATGGCAGCTGAGACGTCGGTAGCTGTCCAGCCCAAGCGTCTGCGCAAGCTCTTCGTGCAAGCTGAAGCTCAAAGAAGCAAGGGGACCGATTGGAGTCCCATCGTTCCAATCCTTTGCAAGAAAGCCTCCGGCCTTGCCACTTGCTGCCGGCGCAACCCTGCTTGCAAGTCAGTTCGCCAAGACATCAAGTCGATGCATGCCCAGCTCGGTCGACAATGGCGGCAGGGACACCTCGTTTGGAAAGAAAGTAGGCGACGGAGGAGCCGACGACACCGGCTCCGCATATGACGACCTTCTGAGACGAGGAAGGAGAGGGAAAGTCTGGCTGCACAGACATGACAGGGGAGAAGGAGGAAGCTAGATCAAGACAAGTCCAGCAGCACAGCGACAGTGTCAGGACCTCACGCACGCGCATTGATTGGGCGCCATGCAGATCCTCCACTTGGGGACTAGAGGAGAGCCGGTACTCATACTATGATTTAAAATTGAACCGACATTTTAGCATTAGAGAGCTCAGTTGTATATAGTTATATTATAGTACCAAATCTGAGGATATGGTGTACCTCATAGCTACAAGTAGTTTTAATTCTAAATACATTTAAATCTGTTTCTAGCGAACAAAGCACATCATGCATTGAGAGGAAGGGAAGGCGAGGGCGAGGGCGAGGGAGGGGGGGTAGGGGGAGGGAGGAAAACGAGGCTACCAGTAACAAGCGGATTCATTGATGGCTTCGCATCTGTTCTCTTCCTTGTTCTTCTCTTTGGTTGGAGATTCTATTCCTTTGCATTTACACTTGCGTCCCTGCGTCATGGTCACTCCTAGTCCACACAGGTCTCAAGGTCCCGCTGTAGTTCTGGCAAGCATGCAACTCTTCGGATCGGGAGGAGAGTCCAGAGAGCTTCTGAAGCGGCATCACAATGATGCTGGTCCGGCGCTCACTCTGACTCAGGTACTGACGAGCTTTTGTCCGAGTTGAGCAGCATGGAAGCATAAAGGAAGGACCTGATCTCTCCTGACATGCCGTGGTGTCTTCAGGTCGGTCTTGGACAGTCTCGAGGATACTTGCTTGTGCGGGAGATGCCTGACGGGTCCGGCATGAGGAGATGGTGCGTCCTGAAGGAGGACAGATTGTGGCTCTTTGAGTCCCCTGATTCCCCCAAGCCCGGCCAGTCGATCCACCTGGAGGAAGCTGTATGGTGGCGCTCGCGAGGCTGCAGATGACGTTGCTCGCAGGTGGTGTCGGATGGTGCGAGATGGAGGAACACAGAACAATCGAAGTAACAACCACATGCTCCCTGTTGTCCTGCACTGCTCATGATACTTGTTGTAGTTCTTTCCAAGTGCGAACAGCTTCTGGACGGCATTATATCATGCAGGTCATTCTCGAAGGATGTGAAGGTAGACCAATGACTGCATAGCAGGCAAAGAGCAGTGGGGATGCAAACATGTGGATCCGAGCTATGCGGCAGCACACAGCAAAAGAGACTCCGTGAGTGTGGGAGTGAAATGGATCTGATAAGACATTGCTGATACAAGTTACAGCAATCAGATTATGGATAAAGCGGAGAGAGCGATACAGAAAGCTGAGTATGAAATCGTCCGATTCCTCCTCGTCTCTTACGCTGATGGCAGATTAGCGAACGCTCTTCGTCTTAGTCAGCATGCCAGCCGAGTGCGTCGAAAGGATGCAATCAAAGCTGAAAGACCCGATGTGAAAGCGACCACGGACGAGTAGCACGGCTATACAATGAGCTGACGGGGTGTCACTGCAGCTTCACGACTTGGAGGTTTCAAGTGAGGATTCGGAAGCAGTCAACTTCTTGCTGTCTCAGGTGGCTCGGCGGAGAAGGGGATATACTGGCAAAGCTGCTGACTCGAAGAAGAAAACCTCCACGTACGCACTACGACCACTGCTTCAGGTCTGGTCGCTACAGTGTTTGCGAACCTGCTCGATATTTGGGCTTGAGAATACCGCACGGCTGCTGAAGTCACTACATGGAAAGATGACTCCGAATGATGAGTTTTATTCTCTGTCACGCTCGGCAGGTCTCTGTGATCCTTCAAGCCCGTACTGAGAACTCGGAACATCTGTTGAAACTGCCAGGAAGGTCAAACGCGACGAGACAAGGCTGCGGCAAACTAAGCAGAGGTGCTGCTTGAGACAGGATTGTGAAAGGTATCTGCTAGAAGAGCTTTCAGTTCTTCGTGGCACTGCTACGAATGATTGTTTAAATCCGAATCTCTCGGAATGCCCTCATACCCCACTTTCCTCCCGCGTCTGGCACGGCCCAGTGCAGCAAAACAAACAAAACATGCGCACGCAAACAAAGCAAGAAAAACTCTTGTAAAAAGTTGTTTCGGGAGTCTCTCAAAAGGACTGTCCGCAAAAAAATGATGCGCAAGAGACAGAGCAAAGGTATCAACTGACTACCCCGTTACAAAAGCGTCAGTCAACGGAGACGTGCCAGGACGAGGATGGGGTGAGATGATGAGCGATATCGGCGTACGGTATCTGGTGGCTCAGGCCACCCTTCCGAGGCCCGGCGCCGGCGGCGTCCGATCATGAGTCACGCCCGCGGCGCCGTCCGAGTGTCACTGCCAACATGGAAGTTGCACAGTGTCGGAAGATACTGACATTCAATAGTATTGAATGTCAGTATCTTCCGACAAATAAATCAGGCTTTCCAGTTATTTGAGTATCATAATCAAATGATGTCGGAATGTCACTTATCAAAGCATTGTTTATAGAATCAAGGTAGGCTGCTGTGTTTATATCTGAATAACCTGTTGGAATAACAATATTATCTATCTTGTTATCAATCTTATTTTCAATCTCGGCATTAGTATATGGAAGAATTGTCTCTTTAACGCTCAATGAACCAACACCATTATATCCAATTATATCTCTTACTTCATTCTGAGTCAATTCTCTATTAAAAAATCTTAAATCTTGATAGTACGATTGCAAACTTTGAAAATTACCCTTTGATGGATAGATGTTTCCAAGTAAAGATTTATACCAAGTCATACTTTGTAAATATGATGTTGGTATATTTGTTTGAAAAGGAATTCCATTTTGATATAAAATGATACCAGCGCCTCCAATTGTTATTGTGTAATGGTCCCACCTATTTAAATTATAGTAAAAATATGATACAGCAGATGTCGAATAATTAACTTCTACGGCTATTTGTCCTGAAATTATATATATTCTGATACCATAAGCCCCACCACTATTTATATTTATACCACTGTTTAAATCGATGATAGTATTACCGTTATAAGCATCATAGCTTTTGATATACAACCAAAAAGAACACGTAAAAAAACCATTATAATCTATTGATGGCAATTTTACAATTGTATTTAAAACATTGTAATAAAAACCTAAACCTACAGTTGTCTTTGTCTTGAATGGATGTGAGAAAGACACAGTCAATGAACTCCCTCCAGTGTTTTCACTGAATCTTATTCTTATTCGATGATATTGATATGCTCTTTCTAAAAAGATAGTTCCTGACCGCTCTTGTGTGCCATGAGTTCCACCATTATTAACGACTAATGTTTCTGTATCTCCTACAGTGACCCAAAGATAGCTTTCATCATCACTGTTCGTATAAAATGTGAACACACCAGACAAATCATTTGTATAAAAATATCCTATATATTCAACAGCAAATCTGTCCTCTGAATTATTCCAAGAATTAGAAATGTTAATCGCTACACCAACAGAATTAATAGGGTCATTGCCATAATTAGCATATCCATTATTCCATTTTGTATATGCCAACCCATCAATATTAATAGTATCGAGAGAGAGACTTTTTTTATTTGTTTTTACTGTATGAGACGCAAATGAATGACCGCCATAAGCTATTTGTACATCAGGTTTTAGGGATAAAGTATCAGCCAAAGAATCATCAAATTTGTACCAAGCTATATCAGGAATTGGACCAGTATATTCGATACTAGGGTTTAAATAACTAGTACCACTGCTAGAATATTGAAAATTATAAGCATCGGTATTTATTATAACATTATCATAGAACTTATCTTGGAAATTAATTGATACAGTTCTATTTGATAACGTTAAATATAAAGCTGTATTTGTTTGATTATATGTCTCTATTTGAATGTGGTCATATATTGACACATCATTTGTTTGATTGACTATGAATTGCGCAGGGTCAAAGTTATATGATTCTACGCCTGTGCTAGGCAATATAACGCTTTGAGTTGAAACGATTGAATCGCCAAATCTTAAAAGCTCATTATTTTGACTATCTAAAAAGACAATCTCAGGGCAGTTTGTGCCTGCTGGTCCTTGTGCTCCTGTTGCGCCTTGGGGTCCTATTGCGCCTTGGGGCCCTGTTGCGCCTTGTGGTCCTGTTGCGCCTTGTGGTCCTGTTGCTCCTTGTGGTCCTGTTGCTCCTTGTGGTCCTGTTGCTCCTTGTGGTCCTGTTGCTCCTTGCGGTCCTGTTGCTCCTTGCGGTCCTGTTGCGCCTTGTGGTCCTGTTGCTCCTCAGTCAAGTTGCGGTCCTGTTGCTCCTTGCGGTCCTGTTGCGCCTTGTGGCCCTGCTATACCATCAGGCAAGGCAATGTTAACATCATTATAATTATCTAATGTAATTGAAACATTCCCGTCTTTTGTATTTGTAAAGTTTAATTGAAAATTTTCTATTGTTGATATGTTTTGTTGTGTTGTATTATCATATGCTATCTTAACAATTCCGGTTCTATTTTGGTCATCATATATATCAGTCACCTTTGTGACTGCCGTTGTTCCTCCTAGAGATAAACTCCTCCTACCAACTCCACCACTTGTGATAAGGCTTGTGGCAACTGTTGATATATCAACATTTTGCACAGACATGTTTTGAGCTACAACCGTTTGCGTGCTCAAATCTATAACGCTAAGATTACCCCTTTTAATATCTATAAAATCAACCTCTAATTTACCGCTAATCTTTGCCGATAAATCGTTGTTAAATATCTGATTGATAGCATCAGAATACTTGTTCTCAGTCCAAAATAGATTTATGGTCTCAAGTGTCCAAGATATAGATTTGCTTATTGCTATTAAATCAAGTTTATTAGAATAATTTATAGCCTCTTGACCTGTTGGCCCTTGCTCGTGGTCTATTATTCTAAAATGATTATTATCATTGACATTATATAACTCTTTAAAATTTGTTATTTGCGTTGTCCCCTCAATCTTCAATTCAAATTGATTGCGTATTGTATAAAATATGGTTCCATCTTCACGTAGAACAAAGCAATAAAAATTTAGTTCAGCGATGCGACTATTTTGAACACTAAAAACAGGACCTCCAATATTTTGATAAACATAAGCAAAATCATTTATATTTATGGTCTTCTTCTCATAGCTCAAAACGTTGTTATTATTCTTATAAAATATCTCAAACACTAAATCAAGAGATATGTTGGTAATATTTAGCGAGCCATCTTGTGTTATTTGATAATCTAGATAACAAATAAACCCTCTATTATTAGGTATATTCTCGGTCGTTAAACCACCTAAATAGTAATTGAAAAGATTGTATTTGCCGCTGTAATATTTGCGGTTCATAAAATTTGTACTAGGTATAAATTGATAATAAAAATAGATAGAGAATTTATTCGTAAAACTAATGTCAAAACATTCGATATAAAAATTGTCTGGGATGGCAGTTGTTCTATTAGCGAAAGAATACCTTACCCATTCCCTATCTTGTGCTGGATATGTTGGCACTGTTTCATAGGGAGAACCACCACTCCAAAAGTCCCAATTATCATAAGTGACTGTGTATGTATCATTCAATTGATTTTTAATAAGATTTGGTGGTATCAATTGATTTCCCTGTAATTTAAGGAAGATATCGGCTATATATAGACTATCAGGACCCGTAACAGTAAGCTTTTTTGTTGTGAATGATTCGCCAATTAGAGCAAATTGATTTGCCATTTGGGTTTGATTGACATAATTTGAGCTATTGATAAAATTTGTGTAGGCATCAGTTTTTAGGAAATTAGAGCTATTGAGATAATTTGCATAGACATCCGTTTTTAGGAAGTTTGAGCTTGCCAGATTTTGATATGATAGAAATGTATCTAATCCCTGCTGTTTTGTGTAAAAATCTCTTGATATTTCCCATTCTTGATTGTCATTGAAATAAAGATTGCCTATAAAGTTAGGGCTGATATCGTTTATGAGTGTGCTAGCTGTATGTTTTGTTCTTATGTGATTATATAATACATTTGATTCTTCATATATTTTGTTGAATAGTATATTGGACTCAGTCAATATATGATCAAATAGTACATTTGACTCATCGTATATGTGATTATATAATATGTTCGATGTATTATCAATTATATCATCTATCTCATTTTTGTCATAGATATTAGGGACAACAATATCATCAATAAAAAGAGTTTTACCTTTGAATATTGTTTTATATTGCTTTAATGTTTGCAGTGCATAATTGCTACCAAATACAAATTCATTTAATTCATCTTGTGTTAATTCATTGCCTAATGTTATAACTTCTTCACCTTGAAAAACAATATTTCTTTCGTCTAAAACTGTTTGTTCTTGTCCATCAATAACAAGCGTTTTATAAGTGTCGTCATATATAAATGCCTGATTAGGGACTAAATCAAGCTTGTGACCATCTGTGAGATTCCTAGAATATATTTTAATGACTCTACCTTGTAATTTAGTATTTATAACCTCATCTTCAAGAACAGAAATAACAACACCTAATGATAATCTTAAAACATTAATCCACGAGAGAATAAATAAACCGTCGGCTTTTGATGTGCTTGTTCCTGACGCTATCAATCCCCCAATGAAGCCCGTTCCAATTGCAAGACCCCCCTTAACAATTTCGCCCAACCCATTGAATAAATTAAAACCATTTTCAGCCGTATCGTCCAAATCTTCTAAGGATTGGGCAGCATTTGCGGTTTCTTGCGCGGCAGCATTGTTGTTTAAATCATCTAATTGTTGTTTAATCTGTTGAATTGTAATAAACGAGCCGTTTTCAAGTGTGAATTTAATGATATATTTATTAGGGTTAGTCTGATATTTGACATATAATATATTTTTATTGTTGTTTGTTATAATGGTTTCATTGGTATCAGCATTATATTTGATAAGAGATTGCAGATCTAGAACAAAATTTGATGTGTTAAATAATATATTGCTTGTTTCAATTAAATTATTACTAGTAATAAGTAGTAAATCATTAGTTTCTATCAAGTTATTACTTGTTTCAATGGTGATAATTTCTAGATCATTAGTCTTCTGAAATAGTTCGGATGTCTGATGATTAAGGATATCTACATTGCTATACAAGACATTGATATTTGAATTTATTTTATTAAAAATAGGCGTGAGAGTTGTGTTATTAGTAGTGCCGACATACTGATATAAATTTTGATATCTATTGTCACAAGACATTTATAATAA